AGGAATGATCTCTTTTCACATAGCGCTTCCTTGACCAAAGGCTTTAATGATCCCTGTTGCTCCACTCAGCATTCAAGACCCTCCACAGCTTGCCAACCACCAGCCACTCAGCTTCATCTCCCTCAACCTCTCCTCTTTGGCCAGAGCAGATAATGGCCTTTGTGATAACAATGAGCCTTATACAGCAATTTCCATTCTGAGTTCCCTCTGAGGTCAGGGATTACTAAAGTATTTCTGAAAGAAGTACTTTCAGAGATGGTAAGCCACTTGCCTAAAGTCACACAGCCAGTAAATGAAGGAAGCACAATGCATATCTGGGCTTCTGGCCTTCCAAATCCTCTGCTTTGCCGCTCTACTCATGGTCTATGGGATATCCCAGAGGAATATTCCAGCTCGAGACACACGTTTACTTGCTAGTGCCCAAGGGGATGGGGCAGAAGGGTGTTTTCTTTATCAACTAAGCCAGTCACCCTGCAAGTGAGTAAGCGCTTTTCCAGTATATGTACTGTGTGCTAGTCAGAGATGGCTACGTGGCCCGTGATTCAGGCTCCTCTTCCACCCTGAAGAGATGGGGCTGGATAACAGTTGCCAAGCTGAGGACATTTTCTAGCCTGCCTTGCATCTGTTGAACAATCTGACTGAGTTCTGGCCAATGGATGAGGGTGGAATTAACATTTACCAGGCCTGGCCTTTATAAACTTCCTTTGTCATTCTCCATATCAGCTTTTCTCTGAGAGAATTAAGCCCTACCAAAATGATCTGAGTGGCCATTTTCTCAATCTTACAAGAATGACAGATAACTAGATCCATTCTAAATGCATAAGAAAGAAGTCAATTCATCACATGCAATGTGTGCCTTAGAGCCCTAGGGCTTGGTTTGCTCAGGGAACTGGGTTGAGAAGGGCTGCTTCCATTCTCTTTTCCCTTGTTTGTGGGCTGTATGTTGATGCCCAGAGTGAGCTTGGAAGCCCCTCTTAAAGATGGTAGAATTTCTGTCAGCCTGAGTCCCTGAATGACTGCATGGAACAGAGCCACTCCTCGCCCGCCCCCCCCACCGCCCCAGTGATGTAAACCAGAAATAATACATTTGAATTGTGTTAAGCCTCTGGCATTTTGAGGTTTTGCACAGCAACTGGTATTATCTTAAACTAATATGGGGGAAAGCTCCAAGACAGGTGGGGGAGTTTGGGGAGACGACCTCCACAGGTTCCCAGCTGACCCACCTTCCCCCACAGTCTGGGGGAAGGTCTTGTGGAGCCTAAGGGGGACGAGGCCTCCAGATGTAGCCAGCAGTCTGAGCCAAATGGAGAAGCCCCCACAGGGAGTGTAACTTCGTGAGAAACAACTGAACTGATGTGGAAGACAACTGGCAGGTTCTGAACTGCTTGAAGTCTTAAGAATCAGCCAGGGAGGGAGGCTAGGATGCCTGTCTCCTCGGATTCAGCAGGGGAGCCCAGGAGCCTGCATCCTTATAAAGTGCTGATGCTGGTGGCAGGTGGTCTGTACTTTAAGAACCATGAGAGTAGGGCATGACAGTGTGCTCCCCCCGCCCCAGTAGGTTTATATATGACTGTCCCACAGCCCAGCCTCCCAGTGATGCAAGGACAGTAGAGATGCTCTCTATGGGATTATGCATCAAACAAGACTGAGAGGGAGTGATGAGCCTAAAGTCAGACACAGAGAGTGAGCACTGGGGCTGAGCTCATCTCTGAGGCCCCATCTTTGAGTTGGGAGTGGGGGATGCCTTGGGAGAAAGGGCACATTGGGCAGTAGGCCCTTCCACCCTCCATAAAACCCCACCACTGCTAAGCAGCCCCTCCTTCTCCAGACCTGCCTGCTCTGCAGTCAGTCCATTGTCCTTACTCTCTGTTCTCTGACTCCCTTCTCAACATCACTCCCTTCCCCTTCCCCCAACCCTCTCAGCTCTCTAGGAGAGCAGGCCTTAACCTCTGGGTGCCCTTCTAACAATAGTAGGGCTCCATCCTCACCCCCAAGCCCCCACCACGAGGGCCTAAAGCAGACTGGAGTGGCGAGTTGTAGCAGAGCTTGTGTCTAGGACCAGCCTGGAGGTAGCCAAGGAGAGCAGAGCCTACACAGCCAGGCCACCCTTGTTGGCTTGAACAAAGTATGTCTGTTCAGCCCAGTCAGGCACCAGCCAGACTTACCAGACCTGAGCTGTAACCATCTCCTCTCACTCTAGACTGGGTGCTAGTGCCCACCCTTTAGGCGCTAAGGGTTCCAGGAGAAAAGCAGGCCCACCGCCGTCGGGAGGGCAGCCCGCAGGGTTCAGTTCTCCCAACGCAAGGAGGCCTCCCCTCCCTCCAGCCCGTGTGTAGCGGGAAGTCGCCGGCTGGGCAGCGCGCACACTCATAAACACACGTCCCGAATGCTCCAAGCGGCCAACAGTGAAGGCAGGAAAACAGCAGGAAGAGCGCAGAAGCGAGGCTGCGGAAAACGCTGCCGGGAGCACCCAGATGAACCACCAAAGACCGCATCCGCAAACTACCCGAGCTGGACCGCCCCTCCGGTGAGAGACACCCCCCGCGCGAGCGCGCCCTCTCGGCGCCGCCCTTACCCGAGCCGTGCCTCTGGCGCAGAAGGACCGCCTCACGGGGTGGCGGCGACGCTGACGAAGCAGCGGTCGCGGCCGCGACAGTGGTGGCGGCTGCGTGGGCCGCGGAGTTGGCGGCGGCCTCGGGGACTCCGGGACCCGGGGCGGCGATAGGGCTCCCGGGAGGAGGGCTCTTGTCGCCATGGCCGGGCTCCGAGGTGGCCCGGCCCGCGGCGCCGACGTTGTTGGCATTGGCGGCGCTGGCGGGACCGCGGCGACGCGGGCCGCTGCTCTGAATGTGGGACACGGCTTCGGCGGCCTGCATGTTGGGCGGCGCGAAGCGTGAGAGCACGCGCAGCAGCGCCTGGGCCTTGTGTTCCTGCGTGTCGTCGTCGCCGTAGTCCGACACGCGGCACTCGTAGACGCCCTCGTCCTGACGCCGCACGGCCGACAGTCGCAGCCGGTGCGAGATGTCATTGCCCTGGACGCGCACGGTCTGCAAGAGAGCGGGGGCTGGGGTCAGAGGCCGGGATGGGCAGGCCCGTAATCCGTGCTCCTGGCCAGCGTAGTGCAGCTGCGCCCAGCCCCGCAGGGCGCTCCCTGGCCACAGCACCCCAACACTTCTCAGACCCGGCTCTGACCATCATCACGATTCAGGTTTCCTTCACCCCTTCACTCCCGTGGCTCCCCAGTGGTATGGAGCCCCCAACTCTGAGTGGACCCTGGGTGGCCCTGCCCAGTGCATCGAGTCTCCAGCTGCCCCATATCTTAAAGGAGTGCCTCAGGTTGCACCCACTGCTCATACAAACCTACCTTCGCGTCTTCCCATAGCTTTCCCTTCGGAGCCACAGAACCCACCCCTTCTTCCTCCCTCTGGCACATTGGAGAAACCTCAGGCTCGGCCCTGCATCCACTGTGAGGCATGGCCTTACGTCCAGTCCTCCACATCTACTCGCACTAACGTTCCTTAATTCTAGAATCCGGTGGACTGGGGTGGTGTCCGTAGGAAAGCCGCCTTGCCCTCAGAGTGCGCATATATACCTGCTCCCGGCTCTAGCCCTTCTCAGCTAACCCCCCACCCTCCCAAGGAGGCAGGTGATGCAGAGGCTGCTGCCGGACCTGCTCAGTCCCTGCTGCTTATGAACTTGCCTCTCCATGGCAGCATGAAGCTCCGGTCAAAGCTCATTTCCCTGCCTCCTGGTGGAGACGCCGGGGAGCAACAGCTTTGTAGCCCTCACCGAGCTCCCAGAGAACCGTCACCTCCGAACCGAGCATAAGACCTGGTCGTCTCCAGGCCCTGATACTTCCACGCTCCAGCCACACAACACCCGGCACCGAGACCCGCAACCCAGGCAGAGGAGAGGGCTGCAGCGGAGCGCCGGGTGTGTGCGGGGCACGAGTGGGGGCCACAAGCCTGAGCACCGGTCGAGGCTAGGGCAAGGAGACTGAAGGAGAGTTCCACAGGTGACTGTACAGAGGAGGAAGGAGATTCAGGCCTGGGGCCCTTGATTTACACGAAAGAGAACCCTATCCGCTACCGGTGACAGACGGCGCCCCGACATGCCAAGCAGCCGACAATGCAAGGCGGCGAGCAGGGCCCTACACCGCACGTCCGCCGAGCCTTTCTAAAAGGGAGGAAGCTGCGGGGCGCAAAGCGGCCAGAAGGGGTCTCCCGCGGCCCGCGCTGGGCTCAACACTTACGCTGATTTTAGTTGCGTCCTTATTTGTTACCTGAAATGCAAAGAGGGAGAGAGAGATATTAGGCTGTTGGCCTTCAGGCTCAGGGAACTCAGATGAGCCTCCTGCAAGAGGATCCTCCGCAGGCGGGCTGGGACTCGAAACCGCTCGGGAGGTAGCCACAGCTGAGGGCACGAAGGACATCAGGATTTTCAGGAGTTTTACCCTGAAGGAAGCAGGGCTTGCAGCTAGCATGGCGCCCGGCCAAGGAGGGGCTGCCCTAGCACACCTGCCTGCCAAAGAGGGGAGGCTGGATTGCCACCCGGTGGGAAGAAAGGCCAATTTCCCTCCGGAGGAGCATCCTCATTCCCTGCCGTGTTTCTCTAAACCCCTTGGATGGAGGGGCCGGTGTATCTGGACAGGACCCAGTGGGAGACGTGAGCAGTAACTAAGGGTGGAACTCTGGGTAGAGGGTAGGTAGGTGGTGTGTGTGTGTGTGTGTGTGTGAGACAGAGAGAGAGAGACAGAGAGAGACAGAGCCAGTGCTAGAGACTGGTTTAAGAGGCAGATGGGCAGTGGGGGAAGTCCCTCTGATCCTGCGGGGGCTGGAGGTAACCTGTACACAGTGCTCTGCCGGCCTCTGGAACGCAGCCCAGAGGAGCTTAACTCCTTGGCCCTGTGCCCTGGGGACCTCAAAGTGGCAGAGGGCAGGGAAAGCCCAGCTCCAGCAAGGGGTCTTCTTTCAACACCCAGCACGCCTCAGCCTGTGGGCTCGCAGCCAGCAAGAGCAGGCGAACTGGATGAGGTGCGGCTTCTTAAGGGCTAGGCGTGGAGTTCGGGGAGGTTTCTGGCGAAGGAAGTGAATTAACAGGATCTGGGGGTAACAAATGCTGCTGTTGAAGGTGCTGTGGGCATGGGGAGGGTAGGAAATGGGTTGCACCACAGGGCGGCGCCCTGCCTTACTCGCCCGACACAAGCCGGGTGAGCACGGGCGCCGCGTGGGCGGCCAGTTACCTTGCTCCGGGCGCCGGGCACGCTAAGCGCCAGCTCGTGCAGCAGCTCCCGGGGCGGCTCCTTGAGGTACCACCACTGAATCTCCAGCGAATACGAGGTGGCTCCGCTAGCCCGGAACGCGCAGGGCATTTCGATGTCGTCTCCCTCCCGTACTGTCACATCTTTGGGGACTTCAGTAAATGTAGCTGGGGGCGGGGGAAGAGAGAGGCGTGACCAGCTGTGGGGCGGGGGTCTGGGGCAACCCCAGGCGAGACGGTCGGTCCCCGGCTCGCTTGGCCGTGTGCTTCCCACCCCCCAGCTACTCGTGTGGCCCAGGCGCTGGCAAAGTTCGGTCGAGCAGCTGCCGGGCCGCAGGGGAGACCGGCTACAGCTGCAGGCTGCTTCCCTCCAGGTCGCGAGGGGCAGCAGGGGCGGCTTACGCTTCTTCCCCGCGCCTGGCCACACTATCAGAGCCAGGCTGGGGTGCGCCAGCTCCCGGAACCCCGCAAGTCGCCTGTCCGCAGTTGGAGCCCCGGTCCGGCTCCGAACGACCCGGGCGCGGGCGCCAGCGATGCGGCGACCCTTCGCCTCTCTCCACCCCCTACCCCGCCGGGCCCGGGCGGCACACCGGGATTGCTGGAGACCGTGAAGCTTTCCCCTTCTCTTTCTCCTCCTCCTCGGCGACAAGGGCAGGCTGGCTCTGGCGGCCCCGGCAAGGACCCCCGAGCCCCCAGCGGCAGCAAAGTTCCCGCGCTCACCGTCGGCCACGAAGAGCAGCAGGGCGTGCAGCAACAACAACGGCGGCAGGTATCCGGGGGCACCGAGCCGGTTCCTCTGTTCCATCTCCCGCAGGGGGCGCGGCGGCGACGGGAGCGCGGGCGCGGAGAGGCGGCTGTGGCGGCAGCTCAGGCTCGGATCCGGCTCGGGCTCGGGCTAGGACGCCTCCGAGCCTGCCATGGCCCCGCGCGGCGCCCCCTCCCCCGGCCG